AACTTATGATATTTCTATGCAGAGGTCATGTCAAACTTCCAAGTAAAGTCTGTATATTACTCTTCATTTTAGCGAAAAATCGAGCAATTTCTTTCATTGACATTTGTGCTCATCAAACGTCTGGTTTAGAACGATGGTGTCGCAAACAAGGACGCTGACAACCTCGTTCCCAGGGCCATTTCACTGATTGGGGCCGCGGCGCCGAGGAAGGGAAAAGGCCCTGGGAACAAGGTTGGGAAGTTGAAAAAATTGTCCTTAAGGAGTCGGGAACAAATTCGAAAGTCCCACAGACACACACAAACAAATAAGGGGTGCTCGAAAAAAGGTAGCTGCGATCCAGTATGTGTTTGCTGTTTCCTGTTCCATTTGCCCCTTCGACTGAATCACCTGTGTTTATTTGTAGTCCGTATTGTATTTTGACGTTAGGTGTCTCATTTTGTGCTCCGTTTTTGTTTCCCTAGTACGTTCCCTTTTTGGCGTCATCATTTACCTTCTATCCATTTACCAGTATCCATTGTCGCCGAAGCGGCTGACGCAATTTCAGCCTTTTGAAAAACTCACACGTGCAAATTGATTACAAATTGAACTCGTGTGAAAGCGTATTATTGTACTAGTACCGTGCCATAGTACTAGCTTCGATAAGAATGCCTTGGTATTCTGGCAACCTCTTTCTTTTTACATACGGCATGTAAAAACATGTAGTATTTGTTAGGCTGAACTGGTTCATATATATATGATGCTTTATTGGCCAGCTTTCAGCCTGATGTTCTTAATCCACTTGTTCCTACATGTGGGTGTTTACTCTGCATCGCGCCTAAGTCTCCGCGCAAGAGACGTTTATTTTACCGTTGGGTTCCTTTCCCCCATGCGGGCTACTCCATACGATAGTATCATTTGCATTATTGAAAAAAAAAAACCTCAAGGTACAAGAGATTTTATGTAGATGATTGTCCCAGAAAAGTGAGTGATGTTTGTTTTATTTCAGGTACAAATAAAAGTTCGTTCTGACGGGTGATTTGAAAATTCCGCGAACAATACGGATGAAAACTGCCCGCAAGCAGAATTAACGGATTTTGTTAGTCGGCCTGGGTACGTGTAATGAGCAAATTTAAAAAATAAGCCGTAATTTGAAGAGAAAATGATAAAAAAAGTATAGTGCAGTTATTTAGTTTGGATCTTATTCGTCAATTAATTAACTATTGTTAGCTAATTACCTCGTCAATGGGAAAATAACATGAGGCTCGTTTAGATATCGTTGTTTAGCTCTCAGACAGCTAAACAAACGGCTTAGTAGACAAAAGAAATCGCTCTTTACATTGTGATGTTAACTGTTATTGTTTCTTTTTGTAATCGTTCTGATCTGCTGCATAAGTAGACAACTTACTCAAAGCTGGTACTCACTACAGCTTGACGCCTTCCAGTGTGGAGCTAGGTTGTGCGTTGGTAAGTAAAACGTGAACCTCAACTGAACAAAACTAAGTAGCAAAATTTCTCTTACTGTTTCACAATATCTATTTTGATATGATCTTCAGTCAGCTGATTGAAACGTTTTCGCACAGAATAGAGTTAACTTACATCTTTAGTGGCATTTGTTGCTCGGTGCCGAACAAAGTGTCATACTGTGATTAAAGGGGCTCAGTCACGGTATTTTGAGTTATTTTGGCCACATACAAAATTACCTTTAAATGGT